AACAACCCTTTTTGGACTCATCACCTTTTTTTATTTGCTTACTTTTATTTTATCCGTGCATGTTTGCAACTCATGCAGTTTACAGTCATCTTGGAAAGTGGTTACATGCACATATGACTGCTTGTTTGTTTGTTTTTTTCTAATCCCCTTCCCTGCCCCCCTTCAAAAGGGACAAGGGAACAGATCTCATGCAGGACAGAAGTGGAACAGGGATGAGGGGTGAAGAGGAGGGGAGGAGAAATGAGAAGAATTTTTTTTTTTTTTTCCGGTACCAGGAATTGAACTCATGACCTTGCGCTTGCTAGGCAGGCGCTGTGCCGCTGAGCTTAATCCCCAACCCCGGAAATGAGAATAAAGATGCACCATATAAAGGGTCCTAATAACTCCAGTCAGTATAGACATTATATGCCGTAACACGAGCTAACACAGCCTCGTCACTTTGATCAGCACAAGTCAGGGAACAAAGGTAAGACCATGCTTTACTAGCAGCCTCCATTTCTCCAGTGATAGCTCCATGTGCTCTATGTGTCTGCTCTCCACTAGTTTCCATGCTGTATCTGGAAAGGAGGCATTCTGTGTGTGTCTCTGCCTGTGTCTTCCCTTCTTCACCAAAAGTCAATGGAGAAGCACCGAACTCTGTTCTGTTGTGAAAATTCCTTCTCATCTCTTCTCACTACCACAGTGTTCTCAGCTTCACTGCTGTATCTCTAGAAACTCTCAGGACTTAATCCCTCACCTGTATTCCTGCACATATCAACCACTCCCTAGGTCTCACAGCCTGTCCCTTGTTTACAAGACTCTCATCAATGAATCACCAATGCCCTTTGTCTTGCCTGTGTCTCTCACATTTCCCCAGTTCAGAAACCTTGTATTACAGCCTCTGGTATTGAGTTAATCATCACCAAAATTGTCTATATCTGCTACTTCTTCTCTGAAAGATTGTTTATTTTCTTTTCTAATCAAAACCTAACTTTCCCAAAAGAATCGTACTTTCCATTCCCCCAGTGATGGATTTTTGTGTCTCACATTTCTTGTACAACATAACTGCCCCCTTACTCCTCACTGCTACTCCTAGACTGCATTTGTTAATCCAAGACTGTCAGAAAACACATTCAAACCTTGAAGGCCTGCAGTTACAATGATTATTCATTATATCATAGTTTGTGCAGGTCAAGAGGGTGAATAATGTTTCTGAAGTCTTCTTATGTTAGATTTTTTTTTCCTGGAAATGATAAAGCCCTTCTAATGTAATATATTTTTCAGAAGTAGTACACCTCTTTCAATCTAATGTGAAGTTAATGTTTTTACAATCGGTATTTTTATTTTTTCATTTTTTGTTTTAAAGATAAAAAGCAATAAAAATGATGCAGAATTTCAAAATAAGATGATCGGAAATTAAGAATGGTTATTATATTGCATATTATCTTCAAAGTAGGTGCATAGATTATCAGACATAGGCATATAAGATTGATCAAACAATATAAGCCTATTCCTTTCAAAGAACTAACCGCAAGGCAGAGAAGTCCATATTTTTTTCAGTCTAAGTTTTCTTTACATTATCACTCCAGGAGACACTCTACTTATTTTCAGGCGAGTAGATTTGCTTCTATCTTGGTAGCCTAAGATGAATTATAGCAATTATGGTTCATTAATTACAACTTTCATTAAAAATCTATTTTTTTTTTTAAAGTGAGGTTGATTTATGTTCTGCAATAAGTTTACTTTCATTCCCTCTTTTCTAGTGTTAACAGTTTGTTTATTACTTTCTTTTCCTTTTCTTTCTTTTTTTCTAGGCATTTGGTTGGAATATTTCAAGACATTGGGAAATTGCTAGTCTATTATTTTAAGTTGTAAAATAATCTGGGGAGAATATGCCTTGATGGAAGCTTAGTTTTTTGTGTTTTGTTTTGTTTTATTAAGTCATCCTCCAGTACACCTGCCCCTCCATTTCTGCAGGGGATTAGTCCAGAACCTTTCAGAGCTACCAGAATCCACAGATGCTCAAGTTTCTGATATAAAATAGCATATTATTTGCATATAGACAATATTTATCATCCCCTATACTTTAAATCTAAAGTATAAATAAATGATAACATAAATGTTTTGTAAATAGTTGTTGTACTGTATTGTTTAGGGAATAATGACAAGAAAAAAGGTGTCTGTGATATTTATATGTTGCAGTTGTTTAAATCTATAAATGTGGAACACAGGAATACGGAGGGGTGATGGCATTCTCACGATCTGCTTCCTCATTTAAGTCAGGTCAAACATCCATCTTCAAAACTGATTTCTTTATGAATTGGGGCATAACTATTCAACTGTGCTGTGGATACTTTAAGGCTGTTGCTGAGATATTGCTTCCTTCATCCTCTGAGTTTTGCTTCTGAACAGATCCATGATTATCTGTTTATTGCAATGTAATGTACAAAATTGGCCATATCCTAGGCATACTCATCTATTAAAAATTTAGAAGCATAATAGGTTTAGAACCAAAGTAACAGTGTTGTAAGGCAAAGGGATATTTCAGTTGCAATCCAGAGGTAGACAGTTAGAGCTGCTTTGCAAGCTATCTACTGAGTAATCTTCTAAGAAACCAGGATTCATTTATTTTGTTGTTCCACCCTCTGTTACTCTTGTTTACATGGTCCTGCTTGGCCTATTTACATGACCACAATCAAACAAAGATGGAATGAAGTAAGAGAGTAGGAAGGGTACAGAAAAGAGCACCCCCCTCCTGTAACCACATGGTCTTGAATTTGCATACATCATTTCCCCCATATCCAAAACTTCTTCATGGATGCTGAGAATTTAAATCTTTAATCTGAACAAAGGATTACTACAAGGAATAAGGAGAGAATGTATTTGAGGATAGGAAACTAGCTGTTTTATGGTGCTAAACTCTAGGAATGAAGCACACTTGTCTATAGCCGCTTACAAAGTCTTTACAGTAGGCGCTGACTTACTGTAATGCTTGCATTTGGCAATAATCATGTCTTAAATTGTTACAATCAAACTCAAACCACTATTTCAAGTCATCTTGGAGACAGAAGTAGACCAGGCTCCCCAGGACTTGGATACCTTACCAGGCTTCATGAACTCTATATAACTGTAAGTGAACTTGCTTATAGATGTACATTTATATAGCATAATAGTCAAAATATGAGTTCAGAAGTCAAACTGAGTTTAATTTACAAATCTGTCACGTGCTAGATTTGTAAATTGAGTAATTTTCATATGCTCGCTATGATCAGTTTCCTTATCTGAAATGTAAGAGTAATAGGATATCTACTTCACAGAATTGCTGTAGGGACTAAAGTGATTTAATATATTTAAAGCATTTATGGTAGTGTCTCACTGTATAAAGTACTGTATAAGTACTAGCTTTAGTATTATTATTTGAATTCTTGGGGACATCCAGTTCTTTTTGTTTTTGGTTATGTTTTTGTTTTTGTTTTGAGACAAGGTCTTACCATATAGTTCAGGCTGGCCTTGAATTTACTATTTAGCCCAGGCTGGCCTTGAACTCAAGGCATCCTCCTGCCTTAGCCTCCTGAGTGCTAGAATTATAGGCATGCACCACCACACGTGGCTCCAGTTTTCAATCTGATTATCAGTAAAGTCTGTTATAAATTTCAGTCAGTACCTTAAAGAAACCTCTTTCACCAGTTCACCAGTTTGTGATCTGATTAAATTCAAACTTTAGGGCTGGAGCTGGGCATGGTGGCACATGCCTGTAATCCCAGCACTTGGGAGGCTGAGGCAGGAGGATCATTGCTGGTTTGAGGCCGGCGTGGGCTACAAAGTGAGCCCAGCCTGAACTGCATAGCAAGACCCTACCTCAAAAAGACAATAAAACAAAAACAAAAAACAACAACAACAACAAAAAACAAACTCTAGAGCTGGGGATCTAACTTAGAAGAGGTAAGGCACTAGACAGCATGCACAAAGCCCAGGGTTCAATCCTACACTATAAAAACAATAATAAACTGCTCTTTTAATCAAAAATCATTTGATCCTCATAGTGTAAATGTTTTTTTTGTGGAATTTACCTTGCTTGCATTTTCTTTTAAAGAGTTCTTGTGTTCAAGTTTGCAGTTCTATTTTACTTTTTTTTTTTTTGGCACTGGGAATTGAACTCAAGACCTTGTGCTTGCCAGGCAGGCACTATACCACTGAGCTATATCCCCAGCCCTATTTTACTTTTTTAATATACTAGAAATTTATATTTATTTTATTTTTGTTATCACATTTTTTATAAAGTTCAAATTGTTTTTAGGGTTTAATTTAAAATAGAAATTTGTTTCTTTTTCAAAAATCCTGTGAAACTAGTTCTGTATGACAGATTTGAACTCCAACAAGTTGCATGTGTAACTGTAGAAGTGAATTGGGCAGTGGATGTGTGAATAAGAAGTGAGGTTTCATTTTTGTCATTTGTTGAATCATAAGAGAGATTGAGCCAAATTGGATCACAGCTGAAACTATTACAGTCTCTTAAAATAATGAGGAAATAAGAAGCTATACAGCTGTTCTTTTTCTGAATGGTGGCATAGTAGTAAAAAAAGAGATGTTTCAGTATTATTAGGAGTGAACTCCTTGTTCTATAATAAATTGCCAAATATCATATTGTCACTTTTTTTTACAAAGCCAAACCAACAATAAATGTCCAGTGCTTTATTATTTATCTCCCATAGTCACACAGAACTTGAAACATACTTGCATTTTAAGTTGCTTTTGCTAAATCTTAAACAGTTTTGGCAAGTTGGTTGGTATCAGAGCTAGAACTAAAACACGAAGCAGCTGTTACTGAGCAAAAACCATTTTCATAATGTGAATATGCTTTCAGTTAACAAACTGAAATGAGCTGTTAAACATCACTGCTTCCATGTTTAACTACTGTTTGACTTTCTCATTGACTCATTTGCTTTCTTAATAGATTATTTACTTTAACTCAAAGAGGAAGAATTTTACTTAAATAGTCCATATTTTTTCTCAATCTGCAGAATGTACTGAAGAAAAATGGGGATTTCCAATGTGCCAGTATTTAAAGGAAGAGAGATGGTGCTGTGGTCATAATGCCAGAATGTCAGCATGTTTGGTATGGATATATTTTTCCTAGAGTAAAAGCTTTCTACAGCTACAGAATTTATTATTTTTGGCTTATACCATTCATTAAATTTCAAATTTTGCAGAGTACCATCATTAGTGCTTTTACATATTACAGATTATGAGAAAGAATGATTTTATTTCAAGCATTATCCACTTTACATAACAAATATTTGCATGTTATTAATTGTATAAAATGTACCAACCACCAAATCTTAAACACAGCATCAGTTTAGTTCTTTGTACATATAGCCTTATGGTATCTTTGTTTGTAGAAATCATTTGCTCTCATATTTTTTTACAAATTGGAAAAATATTGAGCTACTTGGGCTCTAAGGTACCTACTTAAATAAAAACATTATTATGATTGATTTTACTAGTGTCCTTAGACCTAAAACATTTTAATCCATGGCGCTCTTTGTTGGTTTACAAAGAATGGTATGTGTGATTGTCATCAGAAATTTAAAATATTGCAGGTATATTGGATAACTAAATCTACAGATCTATATTATAGCATGAGGGCTATAGTTAATTATAATTGTGTTCTACACTAGAAATTTTCTGGCAGTATATTTTAGATACTTTTACCACACACACACACACACACACACACACACACAAATGATTATTCGATAATAGGTTAAATCACTTATCTGTAGTAATCATTTATATATGTATCTAAACATTACATGTGTATCAAAAATATATAAAATACTTATATAATAGATTTATATAATAAAAATCTTTAAATAAAATGTAGTTGGTGGGATAATATATTTAATGCCCAACCAGAACTTAAATTAATTCTTTAAAGCCCATCATATCTATGTTGATTATGTAGCAACATAAAAAATAGTGTGCCAGTATTCTAGATTATATATCTTAGAATTATCTTAGAGATTTGTTTATGCTCAGATAATACTTTTGTAGCCCTGCTTAAAGTACTTTTCTGGAAATTTGTTTTGTTCCTTCACGTTATGTGTAAATGCTACTTGTTCAGAATCCTGTTAGACTAATACGTTATTCTCGGATTGATGGGGTTCCCCCAGTGCTGACAGCCAGGATTATACTCTCCAGGCTAGAAAGTGAAATAGTCTTGTCTAGTGAATATGACTGTCCTGAGAGATAATACTTAAAAGATACTGACAGCAAGGATTTTGCCCTAAAGCACAATAGATCTGTTTTTCTATGGTGATGCCCACAATTAGTAGTACCCACTCAGAAGCGTGTTTTCTGATCAGGTTAATGGCACTCCCATTTTAAGGATCCTCAGACCACCAAGAACCACTAATTTTCTAATGATATCAGAGATGATAGTTTTTAAAATTAAAAAAAGCAACTTGGTGGAAATGGAAAGTATCCAAAATAAAATAACATAGAATGACTTTAGAAACATAAAAGAATATATTGTATTCAAAACAAGAATAATTGTAATAAAAATGAGCTTGATTCAAAATACCAAAAAATTTTTTTGAAATATAAATCCCATAAATGCAAATTATGTAGGCCATAAAGAACTGTCCCTGACTGTGACAACTCCATGGAATGCCCCTTTCCTTAGAGCCATTCCTAGCCTTGTTCGCCTTGATTTCTTTTGGTGCATATTTGCTCTGTATCTGATCTTTTTGAAAAGTAGTCAAAGTTCAGAGATTTTCTTGTTTTGTTTTGCTTTTTTTGTTTTTTGCAGAAGGCACTTTTCTGGGGATGCTTTCAGAGGGCAAGGATAAGTAGATAAGAGTACTAGATAGATAAGGGTACTAAATGTGTTCATTTTAGTAAAGATTAAATTGCATATTCAGTAAAAATAATGTTAATGCTGTATGTAAATATGTTTACGTATCTCATTATACATGTAAATAGCTTTGGATTCATTTGATTATTCAACTACACTAAACATAAGTCCAAACTGTATCATTTCATTCTTTCTTGTCTTTGAATTCCTTTGAAATTCAAGAACTATGCATACTTATTGTGTATGTGTGTTTGTATATGACACATATCTATTATAAATTCACCGTAAATTATACAAACACACTAGTTAACATTCTTTATGATATTAGCACTTTCAGTTGTATAAACTTACATGTTCTCACTTAATTCATCTTGTTAAGTGGGACTTTTGTAAATTCTTTACACTGTGTTTATAAATGTTAGAAGACTACATATATCAGCAGTCTTTGTCTTCTTCTCTCCCCTTGTAGGCCTTGGAGCGGGTTGCAATTGGCCAAGGGGTAAGTGAGAGTATTTACTTGAATCCAGTTAATGAAAGCAATCTTTTTTTTCCATCAAGCCCTCTTCATACTTGACCTGCTGTTGAACTGAAACCTGATGGATTTTAATAAATATCACTTCTACTTGTCACCACTGCATATTTAAATCTATACACGTTCTGTGTGTTTACTTTTAAAGTGAAGTTTCAGAGAAGTAAATTGAGCTTTTAGGAAAGTTTCCATGTTGTTCTCTTATACTAGCCTCTCATTTCTTCATATGACATTAAGCAGTCTATAAATATGTCTAAAGAAGGTTGTCTTTGACTATAAAGCTTTTATGGACTTCATTCCAGCAAAGATAAACAAACTATAACATTCAGTGTATTATTTACACTGCAAAATACATATTTCAATTGATTTTTTGATAATTTTTATTTATTTGATTTAGTCATAAATTGCAACAGCCAAATGGGCTTCGAAATAAAAACAGAAGCTTAATATATTCTGTAAATATACATATAACAACATTATCCCCCACCGTATATTCAGGAGATGCATTAAAAATTTTTAAGAGATTTTAAGGCTTTTCACAAGATTATTCTTTCTTTCTTTCCTTCTTTCTTTTTTTTTTTTTTTGGACCAGGAATTGAATTCAGGACCTTGTGCTTGCCAGGCAGGTGCTTAGACCACTGAGCTGTATCCCCAGCCCACACGAGATTATTCTTATTGGACCTAAATTTTACACATTTCCTTGTGCTTCTTTTCAAGCAAAATTAATAATGTCAATTTTAATTTTTTCAAAATAAGAATAGCAAAAACAAGTTTCATTTACTTACTCTAGGCCAGGAACATTGCTAACTACCTTGTATATTGTTGTATAATTTATTAATTGTGCCTATCTAAAATTTGATTAAAAACTTTTTACTGGCATTAGAATTTAAGTGTATGAGTTTTAGTGTCAGACTGCTGTTTTGTGTCCTGTCGTTTGTACTTACTGGTTTAGGGACCATGGATACATATATATCATAATTTCTCTGTAGCTTAGTTATTCATCAGTAACATAGGAAAAATAACACTTATAGGAACAATACTTGTCATAGTATTGTTAAAGATTGAATGAATGAAACATGTTAAATGCTTACAACAATATCTAACTCATAGTAAGCAGTCAGTAAAAATCAGTATCTAGCGTATAGTATATGTTCATATACTTAGTAAATTTTAACCATTGTTGCTATTATAGACAATTAATACTTATGATTGGGAAAATAATACTTAAAAAATCTAACACAGGCTCACCAAAGTATGGTTCAGAGTCTTCCTCATCAGCGAGGGTAATGAATGCATAGTACTGTGAGGTATGTACTGACATCCCATAGTGCATATGAGGAAACTGCAAGGGAGCTAATGCTGAAATTTGAACATGTGTCTTACTTTGAAGTTCAAGCTCTCAACTACTATACCATATACCGACTACGGGACTGGGACAAGAAAGAAATTTTATCATAATAGTGCTCAAAGATGTGTTTTTTAACTTTGAAGGTGTTTGGTCATATTTCCAGAGATTATTATCAATTAGATATTGCTCCACACTTAGACGAGAAGTTGATATGCAGCAGAAATGTATGTGTTCTGGCTCCCTTAATTGCAGGACTCTGACTTTCAGCTTCGTTCCCTTTCCCCTAGACCTATAAAATGTCTAATACATAAACTTCAAGAGTGTACACTTTCTGAATCTCCCATTTTTCAAGTGCATTAAAAGTGGTAAGTAGATTTATCACTTGTGAGGGAAAGCAAACTCTGACCTGTATCTAGTTTCCTCCTGGAATAGTCAAGCACAGAGCTGCTTAGGACATGTTGACTCCCTTTCTACTTACCCACATCTGTGTTTACTAGGATGGATAGGCCTCCTTGTTCCAGGAATGTGTATTGGGAAGCGCTTTATGACTCCTTTCCTTTTCCTTTAGGAAATAGCTGAAAGCTCTTATTTACTCAGGCTGACTTCAGACTAATGATTTACTCTGTCCTGTTTGCATTTCCTTATGCGTCTCAGCCATGTACGCTCTATCTTAAAATGCATTTCTTAGTCTTTTGGTGGGCATTTTACACTACGTTCTTCAATAACAATTATACATTTATTTATAAATTATCTTGATACCATTTTATATAATTTTTCAACAGCATGAGATAGAAGTTTTAACTATTTTCAGGAGTCTCATAAAATTAAGGTTTTTATCTTGTAGCTAATCAAACAAAAGTTAAGACCTTTGTAAACAATTTATCATATTAATAACATTTCACTTCATAGAATAATAGACTTACCAAAATGCCTTAAAGTTCCATCTAACATTAAAAGATTAGATGTTAATAAATAAAAATATTTCAAAATTTTTTATGAAAGAAGTATAAATTTTCAAAGAAATGAAGGATAGGTAGTAGAGATTTTTGTACTGTAGAAAAATGTTACTCAAGATGAGACAATGTCAAATGGAAAATATGTCTGGAGATAAGGTATTCTAGATTAAGTGTTTTGGTTGATATAGTTTTTAAGGGATGGAAAGTTTTTAAATTAGTAGACTTTGTCTCAAGTGAAGGATTTGTATTTGGGAGGAGATTTTGTGTAGGTAAATTTATCTTCAGTTATCTCCATTCTTTTTTGTATAGAAATTGCACCTTTAGAAGGTTATAAGTTTAAGTATGAGCACTCAAGTATGCGTATGAGCCTACTTTCACTGAGTTATTTCAGGAGTTGACTTGGGGACTGTGGTATCCCTAACACCATTTCCTCATGGAATCAGCTATCCCAGTATCCCTGCCTTTCAGAGGGGACATAATTTGTATTCTTTCAAAGTAGTGTGCTGTAAGTCAGATGCTTACAGTGATATAAGAGGTCATTGCTATCAAGAGAGAGTGGTTAACCCTAAACCTTTAACTGCTAGTTCGTTGTAGTATCAACACCACAGTGTGAGGGCCGGGGATATAGCTCAGTGGCACAAGCACCTGCATGGCAAGCACAAGGTCCTGAGTTCAATTTCTGGTACCAAAAAGAAGAAAAAAGAAAAGTCAACACGATAGTGTAGGAACTTGATATTAGGTAGAGTAAGGTGTAGTAGAAAAGGTTTTCTGCATGAGCACAGATGAAGGGTTTTGTGTGTATGTGCTGAATTCAAACATATTTATTCTAGTTGAAAACATAAAAATAACAATTTTATACTTCAGAGGAAAATAGAAGTTATAAAAGGAGAACTCAGTAGACCCTATGTGTAAAACTTTACCAGTCATTGAACATTTAGTTTCAACTCCTCAAATGGATTCATTGTTGTTCTTTGTTCTCCCTTGCTCATTTCTCTCTTTCTTTTCTGTTTTCATTAGTAACTTTGCATCAGAGCTGAGTTGTTGCTAAGGTTATGCTGTGTTGGACGTTCCTGTGCTATCAATATTAAGAGATCTGTAGGGAATATGAATGCGGTTCTGGTGCCTTTTGTCACCAAACTTTTGTTGCTGGACTGAAGTGTTTTTTCTCTGGTAAACACTACAGTATGCTTTACCCTCTGCTTTTTTGAAACTCTTGTGTCTCTATGGGCTCTTTCTCTTCAGCCATACTTCTTTCCTTTTGAAAGCGTTTGAACCTTTATGAGATACCTGCCGCCTCTCCCCTACAAGTGCTGTCTTTCTATGAATTTAAGCTCTTGTGACCTTTGTAAGGCTCTGCTTGTCAACTCTGCAGTAGCACAGGGATGTTTCATCATTTTCTCAGGTAGTATCTTTTTTTTTCTGCTCGTGAATCTGCTGGTTGATACTATCCTGTTACGCTACCATTAGGACAAAGCCACATTCCCTTCTCTTTTGCACACATTCTTCCTGACTCTCACAGACTTAAGAGCTGACTAGGCTGGTCTTAAGAGTTTATTTCAAAAAAAAGGGTAGGGGAGAAGATCAAGGATGGGGGACAGAGGGAAGGAAGAGGGGATGAGAAAAGAAATGATATGTTTTGTACGTGTACCAACTCCACACAGGGAATGGAAACATTACGTACTATAGACTTATAGTTCATTTTTTAAAAAGTTTATTCTTCATTTTAAAACTGATAACCACCCCATTTGGGGCACTGGTTCATTTTTTATTGAATATGTCTTTTCTTCCTTATTCACTATTTCTTTTATTTTTTTTTTCTGTTTTCCTGTACAAGTACATTCATGGTGTAAATTATTCCAGGGAAACACTTTAATTTTTAAAAACACTTCATTTTTAAAATGAAAATACTATAAAATCCTCATTTTTCTATAACAGCAAAATCAATTCTCTAATGTTCACAGTGGTCTGAACGCTTACTATTAACTTGATTTTTGTTTGTATTTTTTCTTATGGCTATATATGTCTGCATTTTTTTCAGCTATCTACTGAATCGCTGTTCTATCGTGCAGTTCTTCAAGATATTATTAAAGATTGTTATGGCATCACCAAATGGTATGAGGATTTTATTTTCATAAGAATAACTATGTTATGTTGTATTATAAATGAAGTGATTTTTAGTCTTTAGGTGGATTTATTAAGAGTCATTATTAGTAGTAAAGCAAGCTCTGAACTTAAATTGATGTGAGTAACAAGGAAGTATGCGGCAACTGTATCTGAAGCTAGTCATCTTAGCATGGGGATCTAATGATTGCTTGTTTTCCCTTAAAGTTTGTTTTAGTGCTAACGTGATATATGCAGAATAGACTTTAGAACTTTTGAAGTATAAAATGTTATGTTTAAATAATTTAGTGACTGTGCAGTCATATGAGTAGGAATGTATTTATCTTCTGTCTCACAAGCAGCACAGTGTAAACACTTAACTGATTAGAGCAGGCACCATCATAAACACTCGTTTCAGCCATTCCAGTCTCTAGTGGTAGGATAGTGGCTATGCATATATTGTTTGTTTGTTTCTTCGTATGTTTCCCTAACTGCTCATACAGAGAGGCAAGGAACAAGAGAATTGCTTGATCATACTGTTTTAACAGCTTTGGTATTCAACCATATATTTGCAATCCCAGCAGATTTCAGGAGTACCTGTGCCAATTACAGTTACAGGATTCTGACAGGTATTTGGTATAACAGAATTATTCTTCAAATTAAAATGGATTTTAAGCTCTTAAAAATGAATCTATACTTATTAACAAAAATAGGAGGGATTTTTTAGATTAGCTATTTCTAGATAAGAAAAAGGTATTTTTGTTGACCGAATTACTGCATAGACTACTGGTTCCACATTATCATTTCTGTATAGGTAACAGCCATATCTTTATCCTAATGTCTGAAAATGAGTTCTTCACATTCTACTGAAGATCAGCGCCTTATCTAAAGCTCACACCAAAATGCTAACCTTTTTGAAAAATAATAGCCCTAAAATTGTGCAAATTCATATGCATTCCAATATTGACTACCTGCCCTAGACCATAAACTTATTCATAAGTGTATTTATTTTTCTCTTAAAGACCTCTTAAATTTGTCCCATTTTATTTTAAATCTTTCTGCTCAGTTAAAAATTCAAATCTTTCAGACTGTCTGTATTACTGCCTTCTTTTGCTGCACAGAAGATAGATAATATTTATTATGTCTTCTTTCATTCCAGAACCTCATTGATCTTTCAGCCACATTTGACCATGTTGTTAATTATTTTTCTCTAAAGTCTCTTCCTCACTGTGTTGCATTCTTCTGAGTTTCTTTCTCCTATGTTGAACATTCATCTTGAATGCCCAGAGGCATCTGCCAGTTTGTTAGTGGGAAGATAGCAGCTAGTGAACAGAAAAGACAGACAAGCGTGAGCAAAGCTTTCAGTGCAGTGATAGGTCCAGTGAGACAAAAGTTCCTGGGCTGCCTAGGATGAAGACTCTGGAGTAATCCAGAAAAAACACTGAGTTAGGTCCCTCTAGGTTCATACTATAAAAGTGAGAATGAACTGAAATAAACAATCTTAAGATGGTTATAGTGCCACTTCAGATTATTCCAAACTGTGATAAAACTTTTTCATTACTGCATCTGTTAACTATCTGCAAGAAGCAAATCCTTTCTGGACAAAAATTATATGTATATAAAAATAACTATTTAAGAGAGCTGGAGAAAGACTTAAAATAACTACACTGCAGAGACTTCCACACTGGGAAAATGGAATAGATACGCTTTTCTCTGTTTTTGCTAGTACAACTGAAATCCCTGCACACTGTATGTTAAAACAAATATAAGAAGACTGACTGGTGAAGAGAATAAGGCAGGCTGGTTAAGGGTCTCAGAACCCAAGGAACAACTCAGTAGGATTCCCCTAGATGCGGGGGAGGGTGGGGGGTGGGCATTGCTTTTGTCCTACATAACTCAAAATTGGACCTTAAAATGCCAGCAATCTAGAAACACCAATGGGAGCAAATAATAGCAACAAAAATTCTAAAAAGGCTTCATGCTAGCCAAAGGATCGGGAAAGGGGCAGCCCCATAAAAACTTCGAGACAAAACTGCCATATTCTAGCCAAAAACAAAAAAATATGGCACCCCACTCTTTCTCAGGCCAACAAAGGCCAAATAGAAAGCCTGCTGCTCTATCCTTGCCAGCCTACAGAGACTTCCTTCCTAAAATCACCATTTTGTTGTGATATTAGAAAAGGCTGAGGAGAAGACTGGCACTTTCTTCCCCACCAAGTCATAGAAGGTCCCTATTACCATTACCATGGTGTCAGAGACAATGTGAGAAGCTTGGTCTTCCACCTAGCAGTAATAAAGTGTTTCCCTTTTCTGTCCCTCAGGTATCAGAGAGGGCCTAGCAGACAGTCAGGACCTTTAGCATTGACCAGCAGTAATAAGACCAGTTGTACTATGGTGTCAGTGGAGATGGTGTGGGAAGCCAGAAGTCCCAGCAGTAATAAGGACCAGCCCCTACAAAGTACCTTGGAAGTCAACAGGGCTGACTCTGCCTGTGTTTATAGCAGCTTTATATATACAATACTCATTGCAGCTTTGTTTCTAATTGCCCAAACTGAAAAACACTCAAACATTTCAGTGGATAGATAAACAAACTGTGAAAATCCATTCCATGGAATACTAATCGGCAATTAAACACAATGAAATATTGGTACACAAAACGACCTGGATTAATCCCCAGAGAATTATAATGGGTAGAAAAGAAAAAAAAGACAATCCCAAAGGTTCTATACAGTGTGATTCCATTTATATTTTGAAATGACAAAAATTACTGATTTCTGGTGGTTGAAAAAAGAGTAAGGAGAGAAGAAAGTGAATGTGGCTATAAGACAGCAAATTAGGTGATTTTGTGATGATAGAAATGCTCATATCTTGACTATCTTAGTGTCACCATCTTAAATGTTACCATCATGAGATAGTGTGGAAAAGTAAGTGAAGGATATACTGATCTCTTCTTTTTACAACTGTATGTGATTTTACAGTTATCTATAAAAGTTTAATGAAAACAAGCTGTGCTCAGTATGTAAACACAGTAGGGAATCAAAATGCACAGAAAATCCACATGAAAATTTTTAAACAACTATAAAGTTACCAAAACTAAAAATAGTTGATTTTAACCAACAGATGATTTTAGCACATCATAGAAACAGCTAAGGAAATAATTACTAAACTGAAAGATAGGTAAGAAGAAAATACTTAGAATGAAACATCAACAAACAGAAAGAGATGGGAAATGTAAAAAACTTATCACAGTGTGTGACCATAGAGGTGCAGAAGATAACAGATTTTTAAGCCCCAAGAGGCGTAGTGGAGCTGCTTCACTGAGACTCATCGGTTTGAGAGGGTCTCAGGAAAACAGCTCTTAGCAGAGAAATTACTAGCCTTTTATTTATAACTCAGGGATGTGAGAACAGAGATGCAGAAGAAAAGCATTTGTGTAGGAGTTTTGGTCAAGGAGCTGGGAAGGAACAAGATGGTCTGCTACATGGCACATGTCCACTTAATCTAAGCAAGTTTATTGGGGAAAGAGTCACAAAATGGCTGAAGCAAACACCTCAAAGAATAACTTGTTGTTGATACTAGAGCTTATTTTTGAACTACAGTTTTTTAGATAATGTGAATTTGGTCATCACAGCTAAATGGGAAGCAGGGAAAAAACACTTTTGGTCTGTTTTTGTTGATCATTGGAAAAAAGAGAGACTAGTCATTAAAAAGTAGTAGGAGAATAGGTTCTAATACAGTGTATGTATCAGTTTCTTTTATTGCTGTTACAAAGCACCACAAACTCAGAAGCTTAAGACGTACACATTTATTATCTAGAGAGCTGGAGGTCAGCACCTGAAATGTAATTCAACTGAGCTAAAATCAAGATACCAACAAGCATGCATTTTTTCTGTATAATCTCAGAGAAAATCCATTGTCTTCTCTGTGACAGCTTTAAAGGTTTTCTGGATACTGCAACTCATGGCTTCTTCCTCTGTCTCCAAGGCTAGAGCGTAACATCTTTCTCAGGCTCTTCCTCTTCTGCCTCCCTTTTCTACTTTGAAGGATTCTAATGATTACATTGGGCCCACGTGCATAATCAAGGTGCTGTCTTTACTCTAAGGTCAGTGAATTAGCAAATTTAATTCTATCTGAAACTTTGAATTCCTCCTTGCTATGTAACAAAACGTATTCACAGCTTCCAGGAATTAAAACATGGACATCTTTTATCACATTTATGTATAGAAAGAATATCATAAGGACCACTTCTCTGCTCACCGCATGCAGAAGAAAGTTAAAACTGATTCTTTAAACCAAACATAAAACTTATAGTGCATTAAAATTTATAAAAATTCATTGCTACTATACTTTTAAGAGGTATTGAAGGGTATCTTTTTGACTTTGAGATAGAGGAAAGGTTTCTTAAACTAAATGTAAGATGCAAGTTTTAAAAGGCTGAAATTTTTCAATGTATTAAGAACATTTTTTTTTAGTAATCATACACAGTGAAAAGAACATGATTGCTGGTAGAAATTGACTCCCAAATTTACAGCTATCAAAAGATTAAAATCCAAATTATACAAAAAATTTCTGCACATTTGCAGGAAAAATTAACCAAAGTAAAATTAAAGTAGACAAAAGACTTGGTCACATCACAAAGAGGGTATCAGATGGCCTGTCAATATAGGAGTAGATGCCAAGTCTTAGTTAATAATCAGAGGAATACAGGCTATAAAAACAAAATGGTATTTTTATAATCATTATGTTAGTAAAAATTTAAAAGTTGGACAAGATCAAGTGTTAGCAACAGTGCTACAAGGCTGTCCACATGGCTGGTTTGAAAGAAAATTAGTTTAACTCCTTTGATACAAAGTTAGTATTAAATAAGACAATTGAAAATGTCTATCAATTGATCTCAGCAGTATTACACCTAAATATGTATCTTACAGAAAGTCTTACCTGTTGCGCTACACATTTAAACAATAATGATCAGTAGCAGCAATGTTTCATAACAGCAAAACTCTAGATACAAAA